TATGAGTAAAAATCATACAACAGAAATAGTAAACTTTAAAGGAAGGAAAGACCTTAATGATTGAGACTCGAAGAAATTAAGTGGCTTGACTGAAGATAGACAGCTAGTGGCAGCTGGAACCAAAACCTGGGGTGCCAAGCTGCTGCCTTGGTCTGAAATGATTGAGATGATCATTAAGGTTACACCCAACCATGAGCCCCCATGAAGGCAACACTACTTGAGTCATACTCAAGGATTAGATGGCTTATTGGTGACAGGACTGAGTGCAGCCTTCAGAAAAATGATATCCTATCAGCACTTAGCTGATATCCTTACCTACTTCACTCCAAAATCACAGAACTACTCCAGTCCTTCTGACTGCTACCTTGGAAGACACACTCCCTCCAAACAAAAGATCCTAAAGTATGCATTTTGATAGGCCATTTAGGGTAGTGCAGAAAAAGAGCAGCAGAGGAATGTTAATATAAAGATAAGTGATAATAAAATGGAATTGGAAAAACAACTCAAGTAGTTCTGTAGTTTCAGAGTGAAGCATCTAAGTTATCACAACAGAGATTTCTGAGACAAGTCTCTCTTCTAACACTGCTTTGATTAATTTCTTCTTGTAATTCCAACAGAAGGAGCCCTGGTGATGCAGCAGTTAAGTGCTTGGTTGCTTACCAAAAGGTCAGTGGGTCGAATCCATTCCACTTCCTGGGACAAAGATATGACAGTCTGTTTCTGTAAAGATTATAGCTTTGGAAACTCTATGGGGCAGTTCTACTCTGTCTTACAGGGTCACTAAGATCAGAATCGACTCACTGGCAATGAGTTTCATGTTGGTTTGGTTTTAATTCCAACAGATTTGATTTATCCCAGTGTTTTTGGTTTGGTGTACAAAGACTCATATCCATTATACATGCTTGTTGTTGTTGTTTGCCGCCGAGTCGGCCCTGACTCATAGCGACCCCTCCTTGGGTTTCCGAGGCAGTATCGCTACGGAAGTAGGATTGCCCAACCTTCCTTCCGAGGAGTGGCTGGTGGGTTTGAACCACCAGCCTTCTGGTGAGCAGTCAAGTGCCTTAGGCACTATGCTACCAGAGCTCCTTATACATGCTTAGTAGATTTTATAGTGGTTGGTCAATACTCTGTCCAATTTAACACTTTTTGCCCCAAATTGCATTTTGTTTTATATTAAATTGCTATCTCTGCTTTCTTCTTTTACAGTTTGGCTGTAATAATTTTTACCTAAACCTCTATATCAAAATTGTCTTTTATTTGCTCTTCTTTTTCTGGTGCACCTAATATAAATAGCATATATTTGAATTTTTTTTTCATGAAATTATTTTTAACCCATTTAGATAGTCTCTGTCTTTGAATGTAAGATTTTAGCTCATTTTCATTTATTGTAGTAGCCCATATGGTATGTGACATGGTCTTTTTATTCTCATCATTTTTGTGTTTTCTAATTATTATGATTTTTTATTATTTACTTTCTTATCTTTATGTAGATGGATCAAATGTTCTTTCTTTTACTAGATATGCTTGTATTAAAAATATGCATATATAATTGAATTTGTTTTCTCTCCATTTTGAAAATTAATAAGTAATTATAATTACTACTTCCAAATAGGAGCTCTAGTGGCACAGTGCCTAAGGTATTTTACTGCTAACCAGAAGGTTGGTGGTTCAAAGCCACTCCATGGAAGGAAGATGGGGAAATCTACTTCTGTAAAGATTTACTGCCTTAGAAACCCAGTGGGGGTTGTTTTGAGTCAGAATCAACTTGATGGCAGTGAGTATGATTTCCAAATAAGCTTCCCTTCCCTCAATGTCTGAATTAAATAATCTGCAATTTTAGTTCCAGGTGATTGCCAGTTCTTTTAATTATCCTTTCGATTTTCTTTTTAAAAAAATCTTTATTAACAATTACATTAAGTTTCAAAGACTTAATTTCAATAGTTATTTACATTGAACTGCATTGTTTATTGCCTTACTAACATGTCTTCTTCTAACTTACGTTGTTATTTTCTTGGATCTATTTTTAATTTACTGAAGTAAATCTTAAAGATTATATTCAGAAAAGGTGCATAGATATATGCATAGATATATCTGGATACCATATCTCTGAAAATGTTTTCATTTTGTTTTAAACTTGAGTGACAGTTTTTATTTTTACAGAACTCTAGGTTTAAAATTATTTCTGAAATTTTAAGATGCTGTCCCATTGTTGTTGGGGATTCAACACTGCAAAAGTTTGCTGCAACATTATTCCCATCCAATTTGCTTCTTTCCTCTCTGGAAACTTTTAGAGTTTTCGTTTTTGCCTTGGAGTTCTGGAATTTCACCAGTATAGGTCTAAGTAAGTGCCTTTTATTTGTTGCTGTTTCTGGCTTAGCATTCAACAAAAAGAAGCAAGTCTTCCTTCATTTCAGAGAAACCGAATGCTATTATTTCTTTTACTAATTTTCCCTTCATTCTGTTATTCTCTCCTGAAGTTGCTTTTTATCTTGTTTTACTATCCTCCTCTGTGGTGGTTATGTTTGTGTGTCAACTTGGCTGGGCAGCTGGTGGTAGTTATTCCCCATGATGAGACTGGCAATCAGCTCCATCCATGGTGGGATCTACCACAAGCAGCTCAGTAGTTGCTTTGGGGTGTGGTCTGCTTCCCGTACATAGGAAGCAGCTTTGAGAATGGGCTCTAACTTATGGCACATTTGGACCCTGCATGTAGCCATATCGTTGTTCAGCAGCCTGCCATGTTCTGCCAACCTTGGAACTGACAATAGATTTAAATTAATGGCCTGCCATGTGGTTTGGTAACATCGGGACTGTGCCTTTTTACTTGTCAACCTTGGGCTTCTCAGCCTCAGCAGCCAGCAGCTGTCTGACTGGAGAAACGCCTCTAACTCCAGTGGGCCAGGAGCAGGAGGCGGAGCTGGACCCCAAGGTTGAGGTGCTTTTGCCCAGCCCCTAGAGCCTGGCACTTTGAACTTGGCCTTAAAGCCTCCAACCTGCAAGAGAATAAACTCCTGTTTGTTAAGGGCATCCCATTCGTGGTATATTCTTGTCAGAGTGGCACTAGGTAACCAGAACACCCTCCAATCATTCTGTTCTCTCCTTTGAAATCCCTACAAGACAGATGTTGGATTCTTTAGCTCTGTCCTCCAACTATTAATTGATCTCTCTCTTTTTTTTTGTTGTCTTCTAAAAATCCTTGACTTTATATTCCAAGTAACTAATTTAGTCTTCAGCTATATATGGTCTATGTTTTGCCCTTTTATTAGTATTTTTTAAATTATACTTTTAGTAACTACATTAAAATTTCTAAATTTAAAATGTTTCTTGTTCTCTAGTTGCTCTTTTTATGGCAGCCTATTCTTGACTTGCAGATGCAATAGCCTCTTGGGTCCCTCTAAAGATACCAACACAAATTTCTTTTTAACATCTTTTATTTCCTACATTATCTCTCTTCCCTTGGGGCTAGTTGTTTGCTTTGGTTCCTCTTTCATGCAATTGGCTTTCTTCAAAATTCTTGTGATCTTTTATGGATCCATTAGGAGCTCTGCTGGCATCATGCCTAAGGCATTTGACTGTTAACCAAAAGCTGGTGGTGCAAACCCACCATCCACTCCTCGGAAGGAAGGTTGGGCAACCTCCTTCTGTAGTGATACCACCTTGGAAACCCAAGGAGGGGTGGCTGTGAGTCGGTTCTGACTTGACAGCATTGAGTTTGTTTTTTTGTTTTGTTTTGTTTTGTTTTGTTTTGGTGTATTGTTGTTGTTAGGTGCCATCGAGTCGTTTCCGACTCATAGTGACCTCATGCACAGCAGAACGAAACACTGCCTGGTCCTGTGCCACCTCCATGATCCCTGCTATACTTGA